CAGTCTGGTCTTCGGAGGAGACACCGCTGGTCATCTGTGTGTGGAGGCCATTCTGACATGCAGTCTGGTCTTCGGAGGAGACACCGCTGGTCATCGTATGTTGGGCTCTTAGGATCCTGGTAGGCAAGTCTCCGATGCTTTAAAAAGCACCCCTCTGCCGCTCCCCAGTTCTGCTTTCCTGTGACAGCAGGGCACTTACTGAATGCAGGTGTGTTTGATCTATGGACCACTCGGGTAAGGGGCCTTTCTATCCCTAGAACTGTTGAGGGAATGATGAATAGTCAGGTCCGTTGTAATTGGTGTCATGATGCCTCCTGAAGGTATCGGCATTGATATTCCTCAGCCAGGACTCCCCCAGCACTAGACTGGCCTGCAGCCTCTACCAGACCTCTCCTCCCCTTGAGGGGAGGCGCTGGTTCGATTTCATGGGCTTCAAGGAGTCAAGGCATAACGAGAGCGGGGCCAAGACAGCCAGTGGGCAAGGAGCGGAGAAAGCTCAAGCCCAGCCTGTTCTTGACCCCACAAGGGCTAGGTGGTGCCCCTCCCTGTGCTGAGTTTCCTGTTGGAAAAGCAATAGGGTAGCTCTCTGTTCTGTTCGGTTCTGAGGCCTCTGGAGACAGACATAGTCGCTCAGGTCCTGAGGTCAGATTCTCATCCCCCAGAAGTCAGTTGTGTGACCTCCGAGGCCCGATGGCCTCCTCTCTCCATTCCACAGAGAAGGAAAGCAGTTTTAGACATAAGTGTCGCCTGCCTTTCCTCATAGGGCGGCTGTGGGTGTTACACTAGATAGCGCGGGCACACAATAAGCTCCCAGTCTGCCCTCTGATACCATTCTTGGCTCTGTGAGAGCCGTGGGGACCGCCCTGGTGGTGCTGGATAAGCGCTTGGCTGCTAGCCCACAGGCCAGTGCTCACTGAAAGGTGTATGGTTGGAACCCACACGGTGGCTCCGTGGGAGAAAGACCTGGTGATCCGCATCCATGAAGATCGCAGCTGAGGAAGTCCTGAGGGGTGACGTCACTCGGTCCAGTGAGCCAAACATTTACTCAGCAGCAAGAACTGGTGATAAGACCGTTGTGAGTTACAGGGAACACCATTTAACTCAGAGAGGACATGGTCCCTGCCATTGTCTCCTTCACGAGGAAGACTGAGTGTGGGAGAGGGAGGAGCCTGGGGGCGTAGTGGTTACATTGGGCTGCAATCCACATGATCGGCAGTTCAAAACCACCAGCAGCTCCGAGAGAGAAAGACTGGGCTTTCTCGGAACCGCATTGACTCAGTGACCGTGACTAACAGAGGAAAGAGTGGGCTTTCGAGTCCAGTCGCCCTTGGCCACGCTTGCAGGGGCCTCAGTCTGTTCGTGTGTTTGTGATGTGGGGATCGAGTAGCTCAGATTTGGGTATACAGTGTGTGCTGGTTGACAGCTACCTTCCTTCTCTCTCCTCGTCCTACATCTTCAAAGTCTCCTGCCCCAACGGGTAATGAACACCAGGCTCTGAGGGCTGGTGGCCACCTTTGTGGTCAGCTTCGTGAGACCTGTCCTTATCCTGGAGGGCGTTCGCTGGTGGAAGGCCACAGAACTGCCCGTTGCCTGAGGGTCCTTCATACCGACCTGACTCACTGCCCCGGGGAACCACACGCTTCTTGTGGACAGGAGCCCCTGTGCCTTCACGCTCATCCGCTCCCCAGGCTTGCCCACCCTACACGTCGGGTTGTGAGGCAGAGCTGGTACCTGAATGTCATCCACTCAGGTCTGACAACTGCCTCTTCTTGCCCCCTTCCCACAAGGGTTTATTCAAAGAGGTCTGACCAACACGGCCTTCATGTCGACAGACTCGCTTTTGCTGTTTCTCCCCAACCTTCCCCCGCTGACCCTGCGGTACCCAGAGGCCCCACCAGGGAGTGCCCGCTCTCAGCAGTGTGGACGGAGAAGAAAGCCTTTTGGTGGCACCGGGAGCCCTCTGAGTCGGTGACCTTGCTTCACTGTTAAGCCCGTGGCTGACTCTGACCTCAGCTCCCCCATCTGAGGGTCGGCTGAGGTCGAGGGTGGGAGAAACGGTTCGGCACTGGAGCTGCCTAGAGAAGGGTCCCTCCGTGTGTTGTGTGCTGGAGAGGCTAGGCAGTGGGAGGGGAGAAGGAAAAGATATTGGGGGTGACCAGGCCTGTAAATGTGTACTAGAAATGGGCACAGGGCCCCTGAGCCTGACCCTGGAAGGTAGCTCTTGGCAGCGAGGGGAATCGTATTCAGAAGATGGTCTCCTGTGGGTGGGGTTTGCAGGGAGGGCCAGGGTAGCAGACTCCCTTTCTTGTGGGGAGTGGCATGGAGACCTGAGAGCCCGGGCTCCTAGAAAAGTAGAAACCTTTTGCACCAAAAGAGAAGGACCACGCCAACTCGGGTTGTGGGTGGAGTCCGTGTAGCGGTGTGGAGCCAAGTCCAGGGGAGTGCAGGGTTGCTAGAAGGACGGGAGACTGGGTTCCACTGCAGCGCTACCCCCAGCTAGCAAGACGCTGACACCGTTCTTAGAGAGAAGGCAGGCATGAATCTCAAATAATCAACACCTGGTGTTTATGACAACGTTCTTAGAGAGAAGGCAGGCATGAATCTTAAATAATCAACACCTGGTGTTTAAAGACAAACACAACACTGTTAGCATCCCAGGAACGTACTGTGGAGAAGTGGTCATAGAGGAGGCTGGAGGATGGGCAGGAGCCAGATCCAGAGGCACCTCCTGGCTATAGGTTTTCTCCTCAAGGTGCTGAAAACCACCAAAGACTATGGAGTAGAACACGACATAACCGAGGGGCATGTTGAAGAGACCACCTGGTGACCGGGTAGAAAGGGAGAGGTGGACAGAGCCCATTAGAACTGCAGTCTAGAGGGAAATGAGGTTTATCTGGAGATCACCTTGCTGCAAGAAAGCCTGCAGAAGCTCTCTGGACGTGGGTACTAGGTGAGAGGGGACTTGCACCCCAGTCTGGTATCTGGGCTGCCCTAAGGCAGGGGAGAGGAGCGAGGAGGGGGTGATGGAGCAAGAGATGTTAGAGTCGGGTTAGGATTAGTACATCCTGGTGGGAAGACCACCGACTGTGCCCCCCCCCTAGGGTGCCAGCCATGGGGGTCTGGGAGAAGGCCCTGAGGAGAGTGTCAGGAGGGCAAGGAAGGGGCTGCCCTGCACACGGTTCGCAGCAGCCCTGGCCCAGGACCCACTGTCTGTGCTGCTTATTCTGCAAGCTAGACTGAGCACCCAAGGGCCACGCCAGCCTGCGGGTACTTGGCTAAACTTGAGTGGCTGCCCTTATGCACCAGTGTTGTTGCGAGAGTTTACCACAAGGGCTTCGGCGAGATGGGGTCTGAGGGAAGTGTTATAACGGGATGTGGCTTTCCTGCCTCTGCTAACCATCTTCGTGATGTGAAACCCTCTCTCCTTCACTCCCCAACACTCAGACCCGCTTCCTCCTGCCAGGATTCCATAAGCTTCAGTGCTAGCAAGAAGGGGGAGCCGGCAGGGGGGAGGAGAAGTGGGGGAATAGGTGTTGTCTCCACCTTCCCTCACAACCCCCAGTCCTTCCTGTTGAGGAGTCCCCCATAGCCTTTGCTCTGAGAGATGGGCCAGGTCACCGGGCTGCCTCTGCCTGCAACTCTCGTGGAAGTGAGGGCAGCACTCCTTCCATGGCCGCTGGGTGCCTGCTGACATGGCATTGTCAGGCATCCTAGGAACCGGATGGAGTGGGGCAAGAGATCCTGGCAAGCTGATGATCAGAGATGAGACTCTAGTGTTAGCGTTCTCTGTGTACCGGGAGCAGGGTGGGCTGCCTGCATAAATTCCACTCCTCCTCCCTGCCCCACACAGGGCGTATGTGCCAGCGGGTCTGTGCTTCGGCCCTGTGGGCAACTCCAGACCGGGCAGTCTTCTTCCTTCGCTCCACCAGAGGAGCTGGCGGCTCCAGGGTGCTGTGGACGTCAGCTCAGGTGCTTCCTGGCAGGCTCTTCCAGACTCTGCCTGCCTCCCCAAAGCCTAGTGGCTTTGTGAGGTTCTCAGCCCTGCCAGCTCGCTTCTCCTCCTCACCTTTATCTAACAGGCAAGGCTCAACTCAAGGTCCCCCTCTCCTCAGAGGCCCGGGCCATAGTGCCCAGGGTAGATCACCAGTTTATTGCCGTGTGTGTGTGTGTGTGTGTGTGTGTGTGTGTGTAAATTCCTGTGTGTCCGTACATATCACCTTCTGGCTGAAGGACCCTTGTCATAGGTGGGGTGGAATTCTGACGCATGCTCAGGGGCACCTGACCTGGAATCAGCACCCAGGAGACCTGCCTCATAGATGGGTCTGAATTCTCCTTTACACGTGCTGGGATGGAGCTGTTCCTCTCTCGGCCAGTGAGTGTCTGTGGACGGATGGAGGGTGCAGCCTGGGCCCTGGGGAAGGAGTAGGTGGCCCGGCAGCCACTCTGTCCTGTACTTCTGCATCCCAAGTCCGTCTTCCTTCCTCCCCCTAGTCACCTAGCCTCCATGACTGGCTGAAGCTTGGTCCCCAGTTCTCTGCACCCACCCAAACAAGGCTGCTTGTCGGTTGCTCTGGCCCCAGGAGCTGTGGCTGAGGGTCTACTGGGGAATCCTAGACTGTCCAAGGCGTGCTTTCTGCCTGCTGCCCCGAGGATCTGCAGAGGGCAGCAGAGATGGACAGGGTGGCTTCCCCAGGCCAGGCACTTCTCACGCCTCGCTTCAGCAGCCTGGTTTCCCCCGGCCCCAGCGAGTCCTGACGAGCACACCATGGTCAGGTCCACAGGGAGCAGATCACTTGGTGACATGCGGGAAGCAAGGTTACATTTATGCTAGGTGTCAGCGTAGCCGAGGAGACAGACAGCACACCGTGTGCTATTTAACTGTGTCCTAAGTCAGGCCTTCCTGAAGCTCTTACTGTGCAGAGTGACTGGGCTGACCCACTGGCCCTTCTCTGGGGAAGGGGGCACCTTGGAGTCTGGTGCTGTGAGCAGGTGGGAGTGGGGTGGGGCCGGGAGTGGGGTGGGGTGGGGCCGGAAGCAGGCTGAAGCGGTCCACCCTCTTCTTGTTCCCCCGGCCCTGTTTGTCCTTCCAGATTGGAGGCCGGCACTGCATATCGCTGCGCTGGACTGTGCTGATGAGACCAACAACGCCGTCTGCAGAGACTTCAACATCCTCGGCTTCCCGACTGTGCGGGTGGGTGTGTGGCCGGGACGGGGACGGGGCTGGGGTGGGGGGCATCTGGCAGGCACACCACCGGCTGCACCACCCTCGCTGCCCCCACATCTGCCTGGGGTACTGGGCTCAGCCTGTGGTCTTGGCTGGTTGAAATCTCAGCCCCTGGGTGTCTCTGCTTGGTGAAACACTTGCTTTAGAGCCAGAGAGCAATGTGGATAGTGTGTGTGTGTGTGTGTGTG